GGGGGGGGGGGGGGGGGGGGGAGGAGATGTGTGGAGGTAAATCTTTCAGGGAAGTAAGTAAGAAAAACATGTGAGATTGTTCCTTTTGAGTTTGGCTTCTTTTTTTTTAAAGAGTGTAAATAGGTGACGGAGGTTTAATGTTTGTAGTATTTGTGGTCATTTTGTAAGTATTAAGTATTAAGGCAGAAGATGAGTTGTTGAGGAGACGGGAGAATGATATTTGAAGGTCAGATTTTCTTCTTGTGTAAAGAGAGATGGAGATAGAGAAAGGGCATTTTGAGTATTTTCTTTTTTAGTTTTTGGGTTTTTATTTTTATGAGTTGGTTACGAAGATGAGAAAGAAAGAAGAATTTGTACAAAAGGAAAGAAATTCAAATGATATATATTTTACTTTTAAAATTTCGAATTTTTATGACTTCTGATAATATATGGTTATTGATGATAAAAGCGAAAAAGCTGTGAAATATAAAGTGCCATTTGTTACAGTAACGCTGGAGGCTAATTCAAAATATCTGATTTTGACCAATTCTTACCTTCTTTATGAAATCTTCTTACTCGAGAAAAATATCACTTCTGAAAAAAAGTAAAAATAGGTAAAGGTATTTTCGGGTTTGTTTTTGAGTGTGGAAAAATGCAAACAAATCTAACTCATTCATAATTCTAAAAGAAGAGTTTCGCATCTTGTAACTTCAAAGGTTTGAAAAAGTAATTCAAATCAAAGACCCATTTGTTTTGTATCTAGCATTTAACTTCACCAAGTAAGTTGGTAAAATCACACAGGGTGGTTTAATGTGGTAGATGAACTTCGAAGAGAACTGAGTTCGAAGCAATTCCAGAACATTACACCTGTGTAAACCATGCGGATATGAGAGTATGATTGGGGTTTCAGTTAAATACTCGGCAGATAAGCTTTTTTCTAAGATACGTATCTTCATTAGACGTCATTTGAAAAATATATGGGTTACACACAGTGGCGGATCCAGCCGATGATTTAAGAGGTGTCAAAGCCGGGATTGAACACTGGTTTAGGGGTGTCAATTGACAATTTCTACCTGAATTGCATCAAATTCTCACTGTTTTTAAGCATATTTTTAAGGTTTTATAAATTTATGGGGTGTCACATGACACCCCTTCTCTCTGAATGGATCCGCCACTGATCTCTTCTTTTTTAACAAGGGTTACAGTTCTCTTTTATAGGTTGTTAGTCTGGGTTCATTCATTAACATTAGATATCCCAAAATTACAGAAAAAAAAACAAGTTGCTTAGAGTAAATGTGTTGATAATTTCTTTTTGACAGAATAAGACATGTTCTTCAGTAAATTAAAAACATTGAAGTAGTAAATATAGATGAGATCTTTTTTTGTCAACTTTGTCAAAATATAGATGAGATCTATCAACCTTACACTAGTCTTACACAAACATTAGTTTTGTAAATTGTGCCCCATTTCTCACATGACATTTGCCTCCCTCTTTCTTCCTACTAATTAGTCTTTCCATTATTTAATAAATATCACTTAAACACATTTTATATAAATAAGAAAGTGACAAAATATACTCATAAAATCTTATTTAATGTATAATTATTTAAATAAAATAAATATTTATTGGTTGTAGGAAATGGTAATAAAGAGATTATATATAAAATTGTTTTTAAAAAGGAGATTATATATAAAAATTGCATTTAAAGTGTTAAACAACATTTTTGAAACAAAAAATAAATCTTAGAATGATATTTATTATGAAACAAAAGGATTAATGCTTAATTATTTATTTGAAAACTAGTTCTACTATTTTATAATTACCACATATTAACAAAATTGTGTCAAAACATTTTCTTTAAAAAAACCATGTCTCAAATATTCACTTTTTTCTTTTGAATGACTCTTATAAAATTAGAAACTGGTGATTTACTTACAAAAAATTATATGGTACATCAAAATTGTACTTTTTTAATTTTCTTGTTGGTAAATATTTGTTAATCCTTTTTCTGTAAAAAAAATAATAGGTTATAAGATTCATGTAACTTATGTGACAATTCTAAGTTAGTGTAGTTTTACGAGAATAAACTATGTGCTATTTGTTGAGATCACGTTTAATTTTTTGTTTAGCATGTCTTATTCCAATGATAATTATAAGTGATGAACATAATTCACATCAAAAAATTAACAGCAAAAAAATATTTTATATAGATTTAAGATCACATGAGTGTCCGATATGGAACATATTTAATAATCCCTGTCGAGATGTAGATGAAAAACGATTTAAACGACTGTCCAAATCCAACATCTATAAATCATATGTTGAGCATATGACCATAGATATTGATATTATATTAATGATTGGTCTAAATTCATACTCAAAAAGTACATAAACAATGGAGGATTGACGATACAATTATGTATTTCCAAAGATCACATATGTGTCCGATGTGGGACATATTTAACATAATTGATGTAAGCATGGATCATTTCTAAAGATTTTCTAGATGAAAAGTGGGAATCTCAGTTTCTCGTCTATGGGCTCTATAATTTTATGGGCTATCAGATGAGATTCCAGATCATTCAGCCAACTGTTGTAGATTTATCCCACGCACGTTGAAGTTTAGTACCGTTCGTTATACGCCATTCATTACAAACGAGTGAAGTATTTACAAATTGATTTGAGATTCGAGATGATGGTTTGGAAAACTAAATCTTTTTTCTTTGAACATATGTGAAATTCAGCACATTTTTGGGGTTCATGCTTGGAAACGTTAATGGATATTACAGATTTTCATAAACTCAGCAAATATAAATGCATAAGAATGTGTGTGGTAGGAGTTAAAAGATGAAAGATAAATGATGTCTTTCACATGAAATCAAGCAGAAAAGTAAAAGGTATTCACGATGATACTCTTCTTTATGTCAGCCATACACAAGTTTTAAATTTTTAATTTCAATTTTTTTCTGGTGATATTCTTTACGTATGCGGTGCACGAAAATGATATTTCTTTGTTTAAAAGTTTTGATAACGTTAGAGATGGCTTGTAGGCGAAATGGCGGATAAAATATTAAGTGGGCATCATCTAATCAAAACTTCATATAGTATTAGTTTGAGTTTATTATTTCCAGTGCATGCAATACACCGTATTAATTACAGTGTTGAATGTGTTTATCGACATGTAAATATGACTAGAATTCGGATAATGTTGCCTTAATTACATTTTTAACGTAAGCTTCCAAAAATATGTACAGTGAAATCTCTATAAATTAATAATGTTTGGATTACACCAAAATTTTATTTTTTATTAATTTAGAGATATTAATTTATCGATATACTAATCGAACCAAAAACTAAAGTTGGGACTATAAAATTATACTCCCTCCGTTCCTAAAAGATCAATGTTCTGGAAAAATATTTTGTTTCAAAAAGATGTATATTCTACGTTTTCAATGAGAAAATTAAAAATTTCAAAAAAATTAATTGGTTTTATTAGATTACTATTGGCTAAAATTTGTTGAAAATTGAAAATTACTGAAAACGATAGTGATTTAATGTGTTTTCTTAATATGTGTGAAAACATTAGAAAATCTATTTTTTATGAACAAAGAGAGTATTATTTTATAGAGATATTTAGTATATATTAATTTATCGAATATTGTAGAGGTTTTATTGTAGTACAATTTTAATTAGATGGAAGTTTACTGAATAAAATCTAACATAACATATTTCACAAATTTTATAGACTAAATTCTTGTGAAGTTTGTAAACCACAAAAGCCATTTTTAGAAATTGTAATTGTTGTCAAGCAATGAGATCACACTACAATTTTAAAATGTTATATACACAACCACAATACTATTCGTAGTTTCCCTTTATATTTTAAAACACGTTATTATAAAAATTCATAACTTTTCTACTATTGAAACAAATAAAACTGCGTTTCGAATGAATCAGATGGATCAAGAGAATGCAGCCAGAGATTTTACAAGTATCTGTTACTGTATTATCATTTCCCCACATTTTATTGGATCAGTTTTTGTAACTTGAAAAAGCCAATTCACTTTGATCAAAAAAAAAAAAAAGATCAAAAAAGAAAAAGCCAATTCACTTTGAAGTCAGGGTATTATTAAATTACATATGATGGAAAATGTAAATAACTTTGGACATCTTCAACTCAACTTCAGTTTTTACTTCAGAATGAAATAAAAGAAATATAAAGTAAAAACATTTTAATCTAATTCTATTTCTTACTCCATAATAAATTTTACTCCATTAATGAAATAATTAATTTTTATTTATTTATTAATCTATTATGAAGTGAGATATGAAGTATGATTGAAACACTTTTACTTTGTTTTGAAAGAAAAAAAATAGAATATTACAAGGGAAGTACTATTATACAATATTTTTACATCAATGACCCGAATCTAATTCTGACTAATGTGATTAGAGATGGCAATCATGGATTTGGATCGCGGGTCTAGTCCGTAAAGAACTGTCGTGGAATGGTATTAGGACGAAATTTTCTAGGCCCGCAAATTCGCGGTCCTCGCGGGACGGGTCTTTGTGATATTAGGTCTTTTGCATGATGGGCCAAAACGGATCCCACAGGATTACAAGGATCCGCATTTTTTCTTTATTGTTTGTTTTACCTGTAAAACGAGAGAAAAAGTGAGAAGAAAACGATTTATGTAACTTTCCCTGAGAAAAGGTAAGGAGTTCTGGCGTTGATAATGATTTGAGTTTCGGTGATAATGATTCGAGCTCCGGTGATGACGTCTACAGCTCAGGCGATGACGATTCGAGCTTTAGTAGTGTTTTGATTTGGGATTAACATTTTTTATTTGGTGTTTCATTTTATTTAATTTTTTGATTTAACCAACTAAAATATTGGTTATGAACTTATGAGTTATACGATAATGAAAAATATCTTATGCAATTATTTTTACTTTGTTTGTTGATATGTTTTGGGTGTGATACAAATAATTACAGTTACCTTTTTGAATAAAAATAAGTAAAGCATTTTGGATTGATGAATTATGTTCAGTTGAATCAATGACTTTAACTATGTTCTAAAATGGTTTGAAGCATTTTGGAGTGGCCTGAATCGTTGTGTTGCACGTATTATCACATGTCCTGCGAAACGGCCTGTGAAAATCCACAAAAAATATGATACGGAATTGAGCAGTTGTTTTCAAAATCGCATCCCACATGGAACAGACCCGCCATATCCTGCTAGTAGACGAATTCGCAGCAGTCCGGGATCAGACGGGATGGAAGAACCCAGTTGTCATCTCTAAATGTGATGGATGACTAAGTCTCTTCCGATATTTTCTTATAACTCAATAATAGAATCATATCCTTTTTTTGTTGCGAAATTGCATCTTTTTAAGTTTTAAATTATCAACTTGTCTCCACCATTTGCGGGGTTATCAAAAATTTCTACAAGAATTTCTTAGTTAAACTAATCTAAATTAGAAGAAAACTCAAAACAGTCCAACCTAAAACTTTATCAGCCTAATATTTTGTATAATTAAAGATCATTGAACTAACCTTTCTACAAAACAAGAACGTGGCAACGTTGATAATGACTCAGAGAAAGGAAATGAAGGTAGACGCAGAGAAGGCCCACTTGCCACTTAGGCCTTTTCCTAATTGGCTAATTCTAAAATACACTATACACATTTTTTCGTTTTGTTTCACATATCAACTTACTTTTAGAAATTTTCTTTCTTCTTAATCCATTTTGGGTAGTTACACTCCACTTGAAAAACATAAGTACTAAATATTACCCTACTAGAAAGCCACAACGTCCTTTTTCAAATCATTACAGAACACACAATTTTTTAGTCGGCATGTACAATATTTTTTAGTTTTTATGTGGACACAGTCGGATGTCGACACACACCCTATTGAAATGAATCAGTAAATCTATATATTTGTCCAACGTTTAGAAGTTTTTTTGAATTTATACTTGTGAGTCGTGACTGAAAAATGATTGTTTTCCAACCTATATTTTCATTATTTAACAACCACGGCTAATTTTGGGGGTATTTTCTTTGAAAAAATCAACTGCAGTTTTTCTTACTAAATTATGAACATTGTTTGAAATTAATTTTCCTTTTCCTTGTAATTTACAGATAATGTTTATAAATTTTTAACTATTAGTGTGACTATCAATTAAGAGAAAATGACTAAAATAGCACTAAAAAGTTTTAGTCACAAATATAATACTTAAAAATAAAAATTATCAAAATAACACTTAATGTTTTATCAAAACAGATAAATATACACATATATCCCAATAATAAATTAATTTAAACATTAGGGTTTAGAGTTAAGGGATGAGATTTAGGGTTTAGGGTTTAGAATTTAGGTTTTAGGGTTTAGAGTTGGGGAGTGGGGTTTTGGGATAAGATTTCAATTTTTGAAAATAAAAAATTTTAAAATTTTCAAAATATAAAATGCTATTTTGGTCATTTTAGTTTTTGAGGACTATTTTTGTGACGTAAACTTAGAAAAATGCTATTTTGGAGATTTGCCTATCAATTAAAGTAAATTAATCATTTATTACACGTTAAACTATCTAGATATAATGTACTATCACATGAAATATTTTACCACTTAAATATTTTTAAATTTTTTTGGATATTTTGTATTTTAGTATAACAAGATCTTATAAGATTATTTTAGTTCTTAATTTTTAAATAATAATTATTAATTATTATTCAATTATCATAAATAAATATTATTCAGTTTTAATTCAGAAACGAAATCCAAAGTTATATAATATTTTATATAGTGTTCCTAAACTAAATTTTAAACTATCATCCATTTTTACAACCAGTAAAAATAAATGATTATACAATATATTTATAAAAATAAAATGATGAATATATCTTAAACTTTTATATCTACGATTATATATTATTCAAAACGATTAAAGATAAAAATATTGATAAATATTAAAGATAGCTCAAAATTCAGTAAATGTTGTGTATAGACTCAGAATGGCCAAATCATTATATTACTACTTTTTCTAAATATATTAGTTGTATACTAAAATGTTTGACAAAAAAAAGTTGAATACTTAATATAAGTTGCATCTATCTTCTCGAGGATATGAGATTAAAGCTGGACTCAAGTGAGTAGTTGGCCAAAATCCAAACTACAATGCTAGGAGCATGTCGATATGCGGTTATAAAAGAATTGGTCAAGTTAGTAAATATATGTCGTCGACTAATCGTTAATAAATAAAGGTTGCTCGTACCGGTATTATTTTGGAGATCCGTCCACGTGACGTAGAAATACTTTCTGAAAATGAGAGAAAACATAGGTGGACCAGTTAATCTTGTTTGCTCTAACAGTCTAACATGTCACATTATATGCTATATCTAATTTTGTCAACTTGTGCAAAAGCTATTTACCGACTAAAATTTAACTTAAAACAATTAAATGGACAACTACAAGAGGAGATGGCGTGAGAAGTAGGCATATAATGTGCTGCTATTGCATCTTTTTTAGATTACAAACTTATCTTATGGTTTTCTATTTGTGATTTATGATTGTTTTTAATACCAAAAGTAGACACATGATCTATTTTCCTGATCTTAAAATGTTTAATGCACCAAGTGTTTACTTATTTTTTTTGTAGAATTGTAGATTTGAAGAAACGGCAAATGACCAAATGTTTTTAAAATCATCGTTAATGGTTTACTCTATTGTTTTTTTCAAAATAGATTATTTTATAATAAAATTATGTTCTATTTCAATGATACTTTATTTTAGAATGAAAATAGAGTAATAAAAAAAAAATAGAGAGATGAATAAAAAGTAAATATTCTATATATAGAGTAAACACATTTTTTACTCTATTATAGATTGCAAAATAAAATACTATTTGAACATTTTACCTTTAAATTCTATGTTATTGTAGAAAATAAAATGGGGTTGGAGATGTCTTAATAACCGATGTTGTTATCGTGATTTGCGAACTTATGAAACCTGATTTACATGTAAGTTTAAAAGCTAAAGTTCAAAAGTTAGCATCAACTTATGATCTTATAATATAAGGATGTTAGAACTACTGAATTAATTTTAACTCTAGCATCATACTCTTAGTTAAACTTTAAGTTAAATATATTGCTTAATCATGATCCCTTTTAATATATTTTATTTTCAACAATGACAAAAAAAAACTCTTTGGGAATCCATGTATCCAATGCTTTATATTAAATTGATTTAGTTTTGATTTTCACTCATTTCGGTTTCACTTCTATGATTACTTTTTCAAAGTAAATAATTTTTTTTTTATTTAATTTTTTTTTTCAGTTTGATCAAAGTCGATTGGTTCGATTATTCTTTAACATCACATCGAGATAGTTTATATTTTATCTTTTCGATTAAAATAAATAAAGACAGATAAATCTAGCGAAGCATGCAGCATGCTCTTTCTTTAGAAATAAACACGAAACTGCCGTCAAATTAAATACTCCATATAGATAAAACTAAATGAGCTTCAAGTTGAATCATTTCGCTGACTTGTTCGTAGTCGCCAGTTTTATTTTGACTTGGCCATCACATTTTATAATTTAAAATATGTCGACTAATATTGAAACATGACTATAAAATTATACTGAACTGATTAATTTTAATTTTCTTTTGTAAGCGCTTATTTAAACATATTTAGGTAGGAAGTTATTTTTCTTTTTAACATATGCTTTTGTAAGCAATAAGAGTGATTTAAAATAACTATGATTTGTTTGGTTGTTTAGTCTCTCCTCGTTTAATTTTATTTAAAATTTAATTAAATGTTCTGAACCAATTTTAATTAATCAAAACTTTCAAATCTAAAATATTCTAAATCCATTTGTTTTTCCTACAAACTAATAATTCTGTACTATGTTTTGGATCAAATTTATGTCATATATTTATATTTTTTTATTTTTATAGACGTATCACATATTTTTATTTTAACATTTATACCTTTTCCAAAACTCGGACTACATCTGATTTGAATGAATCAATACAATTTGGTATTTTGTAGCATTTATATTTAAAATTATATAAATATTGTTTCTATCTTTACAGAAATTAAATCCCTTTGATTTTTGTTTAACTTTTAACTTTTAACTTTAGACGCTGCAGCTGCAGAAGATATTTGGAGTGGGGAGAAAAAAAGAAAAAGGACACGTAGGGCAAAAGAAAGCAGACAGATGTATGAGTGTGACGCTAGGCAACTGAGGTACATGAAAAACCAATGTCGGTAAAACAATTTAAAAAAAAAAAAACAAATCCTCACGTCTCTCTCGATCTCCAACTCCCATATGTCTCATTGCATTAACCACTTCCTCTTTCTCCTTATAAATATCCTCACGACTTCACTCTTCAACAAGATCACACCAATCACATCATCACTACTAACACTTTTTTTTAATATGAAGAGACCGAGAGAGGAGATGAAGGAAGAGGAGAATGACTCATCATTGGCTACCGCAGCCATGGCGGTAGCGGTTGCAGCCGCGGTGGCTGAGGATGAGAAATTGTGGTGCAGTGGAATGGTGGAGGAGATGACGTGGAGCAACGTATGGTTGCCTTTTTGGGACGTTGAGTTTGTTGGAAGAAACTACAGTTTATTGTTCAGCGACGTTGCTTGGGACGATGATATTTGGGACCTCAAGAATCTGACTCATTCCTCATAGTCCTTTTCCTTAAGAAAAGAAGTATTATAATTAATTCCTTCTAAATAAGTTTTCCTTATATGGGGTTAATCTGAAAGTAATTGTCTAGATTGAAGAATTAGTCTGTTTTAAAAACTTTGTCCATACCTTAATAATAATGTATTGTTAAATTGTTTATTGCGTATATATACGCCCTACGCTTGTTTCAAGAGAGTCTAGCCAAATTCCGAAACATTATGCCTCCGATAATGGTTAGCTGCCCTCAACTTTGCATCTAATTGCTTACATCTAATCTAAATCTCATGATGTCAAAAAAAAAAAAAATCTAATTATCATTTCATTTGATCAACTAAAATTTGGTTCCCGTTTGGTTTGGGTTATTAGATAGAAGTCATGCACAACAAAAACCAAGTTTTCACTTGGGTTCAGTATGGTTTTGATTGTAAACGAAACTTTTAGAATTGAGTAGAGAGCTTTTATGGAAAATTGAAAATTAATTAAATTTTACCTCTAACTCGAACTCAACGCAATGAATTCACTTATTGCGGAAAAGGCAATCAACCTCCTAAGCCAAAGACACCTCGCTCAGGTCAGAGAGGTACGCGAAAGTCTCTAACTGTTGGGTAGCCACACCTACAAATCGCAGGGTCAACTATATTCGGGATTTTACTTTTTTTTGTCAACTATATTAGGAATTATGTACTAATTAATTTAGTTTAATATGGTTTCTTATATAAAATTATATATATATACATATATATTTAGAGTAGAAAAGTCACAACACCATTCTATATCATTAGCCTCATCTTGAAATCGTAAAATGCATGTTACTGATCCAATTTGGTACCAGAACTGAACTAGACGCAAATAAGTATTTTAGTACCAGAATAAAATACAAATTTTCATCTAGACCAAAACAATTAGTAGATTGTCCTTCGAAGTCTTAAGAGAAAATATTTCAAATATTTTATTTTCAAATTTTTGAAATTTTTTATTCTTATTTATAGAATATGTATTCTACTATATGTAGAATGCAATAAGAATGGTTGAAATCAATTTCTACAAGTTTTAGATTAATTTATAATAATGTGTATATTTTGATTTCTACATATTTTATATTTATTGTAATGTTTAAATTTTGATTTTTACTGAGTTTAGAAGGATAGATTAAACAAGGAATGTATATTCGAAATAGTCTGAAGTTATTATTATTTACGTAGAACATGATTTTATATCTTATTTCATATAACGTCAATGTCAATTCTGATATCTGCTGAACAAAATATAAAATTATGATTTAAATATTTTTGAAACTGGAAAATATATCACTAAATTGATATAGTTATTTCATTATTAGTTATTATTTTAATTTTTTTGTTCGTAAAACTATTTATTTAATTAATTTTCAAAAATACTTAAAGGCATTAAAATAAAAAATGGTATAAAATATAACTTAATCTAAAAGGATAAAGTCTTAATTGTTTTGACTTAAAAAAAAAAACAATTTTCCCTTGTATATATAATTTTGGGGCTTTAGTTATGAACATAATCACGTGACCGCATTGATTACCTCTTGAACTATATGGTTACAAATTAACAATGGAAATGTTTGTAATACTGTACCGACATACTAGTGGGACTATGAGTTTATAATAGTGAATCTGGCTACATGAGTCATGAATCATGAGCGGACATTTTTATAAAGAAATGAAGATAACTGAGAAGAATTTATTGGTCGACATCGAGTCTTATCGTAAATTTTTGGACCATAGACTCTGCCACGTAGCACAATCACGTTTTCTTATCTCATCAAACTTGAGAAAAAGTTAAACTGATACTTTCTCCTATATCATAATCGGTCACTTCTTTCATCATATTTAGTCTCATTCGATTGTCATACTTAGAATGTTCTCCATTCAAGAGAGTTTCGAACTCTTAGAGCATGTTTAATGGAGGTTGCTTAGAGAGTTGCTTAGGAGGAGAGGAGTGTTTAATTTGAAGAGAGAGAGTTGCTTAGGAGGAGAATAGTTGCTTAATTAAGCAACTATTCTAATTAAGCAACTATTCTCCTCCTAAGCAACTCTCTCTCTTCAAATTAAACACTCCTCTCCTCCTAAGTAACTCTCTAAGCAACATGCATTAAACATGCTCTTACGCTTCTGAAATACGATGCTGACCATTCCAAAGTTCATTGTTGCCCCTAATGAGTTTAGACTGCAAATTGCAAGTTGCAAATTCACAACAGCTCCAGCAATCGAATATTCAAAGTGCAAGGGGCACTTGTCCACTTGTAAGAACCATCCCAATATGTTGATAACTCCTCATTGGAGTTACTCTAAGACACTAACTTTAGTTTTCAAATTTGATTTTTCCGACTACTTTATCAAAATAAAACATTGAGGTTAACCTTTTCTAAAGTAGAAGCAATCAGCTCATAGGTAAAATTAACCATGTTTAAGACTAGGTTGAATTAACCCGTTGAATTAACCCGTATAAGAACTACAAACAGACCCGTTGTAGGGTTAAATTAACCATGTTTAAGACTAGGTTGAATTAACCCTTTCAAGCATATATAATTATATATACACTTACGACATATCCAATGGCTAGGTGTCACTGGAAGTATGTTCAGGTATTTGGCTATTCGAGTCTGTTTAGTTAAAATTTTCAGGTTCTAGAAAGGATTTCTTACAGTCTCAAATTTTATTTCATTCAAGTATAGAAACTTCGAGACATTTTGAAAATCTGTCAAAAGAATTCAACCCAAATATTTATGAGGTTAATATACAAGGTATGTGACATGGCACATGCAACCGATGTTAGAATATGCTAGCGCAAGTGGCAATATCACCTTTGCCAGATTCTTGAGTACAGGGTTTTGACAATACCTCCCCACGGAAGATTGAGGAAACACCAATGCTTATGTTATTCAAAACGGCATTCTCGCTCTCATTTTGTTCACCACTGCTTGAGCAGTCTAAACCACCTAAACAAATTTAATATTTTATCATAATAAATAAAATAGATTATTATTTATAAATTATAAGAATTAATTTATTATAATATAAAATCTTATGAAAATATAATAAGATAAATTTATCATTTGTGAATAACAATTGTGTGAAACATTATGTATATTTAGTAGATTTGTTATAATTTCTAAACACTCGTTTAATAAATAATTTAGGTGTTGGTTTAGTCGTTTTAGCTTTTTAGGCGATATGGTAAAATCACCATCCCCTTCGTGTCTAATGTTTTCTTAAAAACTATTTTCTATATTTTAATATAATTAATGTTTTAGAATTTTCACATATATTAAAGAAACATATCAATAAATATATTTTTTTTGTGGTTAGTTATTTTTCATAATTTTTATCCAATCAAAATTTAGTAAGCACAGTTAATGTTATAGAAATGTACAATTTACGTTTATTATATGCATTGAAAATGTGAAATATGTATCTTATATAAACAAGATATTTTTTCTAAGACATAAATTATATTGAAACAGTGGGAGTAGTAAACATTAAACAAATCCAAAATTTAATTCGTAATAGCCAATAAACATAAAATCTCTTTTTCTTATACCAAAAACCAATGGGTAAGTTTTATTGACACACGTCCTATGTTCTTTGTTTTCTTCTTAAAATCATAACCGTAACATTTGTAATTGTGCACACAAAAAGATGTTTGTAATTTAGCTTCAAGAACAAAAATTGAATATTACAACTTTACAAATTTCAAGGCTAAATATATTTCTCTCTATTTTTTTTCAAAACAAAACAACTAAATATATAATAGAGTTGATTTATTCCAATAGTATTCTATTTTAGAGTGAAAATAAAAGGATAAATAAAAAAAATATTATATTTCTAGAATACCATCTTTTACTGTGTTATAGAAAGAAAAACTAAGTTTTATTAAAGCTTTTTATTTTATTTTAAACTCTATTTTAGAGTGAAAATAAAGTGAAAATATCCTAAGAATTAAGAAAAAGATATGATAGTAAAAATCATACTCCCTTTATAAAGGTATCTCCAAGGAACACTATAAACTCTTCAACATTTTTCTGAAAATGGAGTCATTCTATACTCTGTTTTAGAGAAGAATATAGAAGAGATTATAGAGTTCCAATGAAGATGGTCTAAATGTAAGATATTATGTATAAAACATAATTATAATATTATTTTATAAAAATATCATTAACATAAATCGAAAATAGTTCAATCAATCATCAAACTTGTAAAATATAATTGGTCAAAACATCTTATATGTTGAAAAACCAAACACTTAATTTATATCATAAAATGGAAAAAAGTATAAAATAAGTAATTTGATGTTGCATGTCTTTTATCAAAGTAAGGTGTGATATTAACCGTGTTATTATCATAGATGATAGATGAAATCCAAAACTATGAGCTATGTAGAGCTTAGACCCTACTAAATACTGTGTTATTGCACGTAAAGTTACGGTCCAATCCGTAGAGCCTTCCCTAAGATCAGGAGTAGAAAGAGGCTTTGGTTAAACAAAAGGGTCTGAACATGTAGAGAAGTTTTATCTCGCGTGCAATTCACTGCCACCTTCTTTCTTTTGTTGTTACTAATCAGAATTTGTTACACAAAAGTTCAAAACTTCTACTCTGATTTGTTTATTTTGTCGGTATCATCTATGGGGGGTGGTTCTCGTGCATGTCTCCCACTTTTCATCTCCAAAGTTTCCTCGTATACTCTGGGCCTCCGCGGCTCCGCCAACACTCAATTACGCAAATACCCCTCACAACTTCCATCTTTTTTTTTTTGTAACTGCACAACTTCATCTTTTCATGTGCTTTAATTTAAATTTCAAAGTTAGCTTAACTTGTGAGAACGTAATTACGAATATAGGTAAAGGTGAGTAGTAAAACAGTCCCACGTAACCCAACGATAATATATGACAAGGATTTGCATACGATGATATGAAGATTTTGAAGGTAGGTTGAGCTGAGGGAGACGCAATTACTACTCTCTTTATTTCAAAAAGTTTCATGTTTTAGAAGAATATTCGTTTCAAAATAATATATTTTAAAAAAAAATACATTATTTTTACATTTTTAATGCATTTATTAATACTATAGATGTGGTAGTCCAGTTGATTTAACCGTAGGCGTTGGTAATGTTGCGCTCCTAGATTTGATTCACCATGGGAAGGATATTTTACGCCATGGGCCTTGTCTCCATGGTATCAATATCCGCCGGATCCCGGGTCTAGGAGATTATGGATCTTGTCCCCAGAACTTCCAGATAAGCAAAAAAATAATACATTTTTTTACGTTTTCAGTACATTTATTAAATGTTAAATTGTAAACTTCAAAAACCATAATTGTGTTTATTAGAATCCTATTGATTAAAAGTTATAGGGAATATTTAATTATGAAAAATAACTTTATAGTTAGAAAAAATTGATGTGTTTTTTTAATAAGTATGAAATATTTTGAAACGGAGAAAGTAATTACTAATACAGAATATAGTAAAGTAAGTGGTAAAATCGTAATATTGGGATGCATGGAGGCTTTTAAAGATGGAAAGAAAGACGATATTGGCATTTCCGAAGAATGAGCTCCCCAACTTTTGCCAAAACAAAATGCTAATTTCACTGAAACACACAACCTCTTTTTCTTGGCCTTTTCTTCTTTTCTAACACTAACCAGTAAAATAAATAAAAACTTATAAACACAACTACATAATTCTAATTAAAATTATTAATTTCTACTTTAGAAAGTAATCATAAAGCATGGACTGCACCAGAGTTTTTTCACCACTTTCTCCAAGAAACGCAAAAGATGAAAAATAATAATGCCAACTCACTTTATGATTCATTAGTAACTTCTTCCTTATAAATACAAATTGCCCACACTCCACCACTTCTCTGAGTTTCACTTTCAAGAAAACTTACACACATTTTATACATATAAACATAAACATATTATAAATAGAAAATGAGAATCAGCTGCAATGGGTGTAGAGTCCTACGCAAGGGCTGCAACCAAGATTGCATCATAAGACCATGCCTTCAATGGATCAAATCCGCAGACTCCCAAGCCAATGCTACACTCTTCCTAGCCAAGTTCTACGGTCGAGCCGGTCTCCTTAACCTCATAGAATCTGGTCCTGACCATCTTCGTCCTGGTACACACTGAAAGCAAAAAAAAATCATTGAATTATACTTTTTTACAATCTATTGGGATTATGAGAGGTGTAAGAGAGATATGGTGACATTATATAAAACAATGATCTAAATGTCTATTTTAGATTCTATCACACACCCTTTACATGCACACATCCCTTTTAATGTAGGGACATTTTTTTTTTCATTTTCCAGTTTAGTTCCATAACCTTCATTGTATTTTGTAAATTTTCTAGCAATATTTAGGTCACTTCTATACGAGGCGTGTGGTCGGATTGTGAACCCTGTCGACGGCTCAGTTGGTTTGATGTGTTCAGGAAATTGGGCCCAGTGCCAAGCCGCCGTTGATGCCGTACTCAACGGTTCACCCATCACTCACACACCTCTTCCCAGTGCATCCGCGTCGCATCAGATCATTCCTCCTCACAGAACTTACGACATACGCCACGTGGCGAAAGATCCAGCAACGGGTCGAGGTAGTTCGGAGAGTCTGGCCCTGTCCCCACGTGTTAATGGTAGCAAGACCAATGCACAAGCTGACCGTTTCAAACGCCTTGCTGATGCGACCATGAATTACCAACCAGGCGAATGTAGTCATGGCACGTGGCATCTCCAGAGTTCTTGTGCAACGCATGGCTACGGTCAGTTGGCGTTGGAGACTGTGGAGAGTGGAAGGGGAGCTCCATTAAATCAAAGTTCGAACATTGGGTTTGATGATCAAGTCGATGTCAACGAGGTTGGCTTAGAGCTCAGACTTGGTTAGAGGCTATGATAAAGACAAGGAATAGATAGCATTATTATCGTAACTATCTTTGTAGTTAATAATTTCACCTTGTATTTAAAAGGAGAAAAATGAAAAGCAAATCAAAATTGGTTTACTCGCTTATATATGTGTATAAAACTTGCTATTGATGTGAATAATGAGGCTAAGGAATATTTGATAGAGGTCGTTTCAAAGTGTTATATGATATATTTTTGAGGTTAGGTTTGCTTTATAAATTTCTGTATCAACGGGCTTCATTAAAATAATCACAAGGAAAACAATTCTTTTGAAACACCTTTTGCATATGAATTTATAAACGAAATATTAGTACTAAATGTTTTACCATGTGATAGGAAATATAATTAATCAGAACTCGCCCCTTCCGTGGAGTACTGTAGTGTAAGCTTGTATTTATAGACTCTTCTTTTGTATTTGTATTTATAGTCTCGTTTGAGAAAAGAAAGTGATTTTAGCAATAATGTACATGCCATGCCAGATAATACATATTTGAAACCATCTTCAAATCAATAGTCATTTGCATTCTATAGTGCCATTCATTTTCAAAATTGAAAATAAAGATTTTTTTTTATGGTGTTTCCTTTTTATCTTTAAAATCAAGTAACAAATATTATTTTATATTTCTTTTCAAAAAATACTATTGTATATTAAAAGGAATGCAATTCATTCACTCATATTATAAATATGTTTTTCATTTTAATTCTTAAAAAAAAATTACATTTTATTTTATCTAATTAGCTTTTAAAGTAAAATGTAATAATATTTAATATAATATAACTTTTGAGGCATGAGATGTCTCAACTATGATGTCAGATTATTTATTTATTTAATTCTATAACTCATTAACATCTATTGTTACATCAATTTTATGCATCCATTTCTATTTGATAATAAATCTCTTATGAAGTAGAACCATATATAAATCTATGTCTTACAATTTTGAAATAGCACCAAATTGGCCAAAGTTTACTTTTTTTTTCTTTTTTTTTTATCATCCGAAAATTGGTATACGATATACGATGATACGATTATTATCGATATATCCAAAATTATCTATCTCCTATTAAATTATAATTCTTCCAAACCATGAGAAGTGCTAACCAAAATATTTACCATGAACTTGTGACCGGCCTTACTAGTCCTACGGCTACACTAGCAAGCTACCACTAGCAAGCTACCACTAGCAAGCTACCACTCAAAAACGCGTTCGATGATACCAATTATTGACGTTTTACAACAATCATCATATATATTGTAAATCGTTTTATGTCTAAACCTTTCAAAATAAAATCTAGGTTTAGCGAGCGTAATCGATTGTGGACAGCAGGGACGGTCCTAAAATTTTGGAGGCTCCATACAAAATTACAAAAAGTATTAAATATCATGATGCTCCATAAATCGTAATGTATGTTACAAAATTTAGTATGTTTATTTTTCTTACATATTTTATTATAAGTAAGTTAAACAATGATTATATCTGAAATTTGTATTTGAGCAAAATTGTATATTTAACAGTTATATTTTCCATTAAATATTTTAAAACATATAAAGTGGCCCAATTTTTTTTTTAGTTTTGTAATTAATTCGTAAAATCATTTAGTTACCAAATTTTAATATTTAATATATTTTTTTAAAATTAATGCAGATTTTAAGTTTCAGTGACACTATCCTATGTCAATATTCTCAATTACACCTTATCAAGATAACTCTTTCACCAAAAGATTGTATTGAATCGTGTAAATGTATTGTATGTAACCGTGTAGTTTTATTTTAGAAAAATAATATTAATATAGTTAATTAATTTACGTTCATTAAGTTTTTTTTTGCAAGAAACTTTAAAAATAATTAGAAAGAGAATTTAACCCATTTATTTAACCCATTAAATAGATATTGATATGTACTTAAGTATATAGTTTTTAGGTCCAAAAACTGAAAAGCAATAATACCATTAGTGAAAAATTTAATTTGTTCATAAAATTAGTGACAATATATTAGTATCTATACTATTTTAATTTAAAACATTAATTATTTTTTATATAGAATCAAAACCATTAAAAGGGGATCATTTTCTTCAATGAAATATAATATATATATATATATATATATATATTAATTTATATTATAAAATTTATAATAAAAATATTTTCTATACTTTTTTTAAGAAAAAATGGTATTACGATCTTATAAATGTATATTTAATTTAATAAAATGATGTTTAATATTTTTTAATTATATTAAGTATTAATATTATTAATTTCTTATCTAACCACTATTTTATTTACTAATTAACCAATCATAAGTATTCCAACAAACGCATCCGTTTTTGACCGATGTATTAATCATATAAATCTTTTAGTAGTTTTTAAAATCTCAGTCGTCCGCATCCACAAAAAGAGAGGTACGAAAAGTCAGAAATATTTAACTCATTAGAGCATCATTATCTCTGTTGCTTATGGGTGTTGCTTAGTTTAATTGTGATTAAATAAAAATGAAAATTACATATTATTAGAGGCAACGTTGCCTAATTAAGCGCACAAAGGGACGTTGCTAATTGGACACGCGTCCACCATTCAGCCTCCCTCTCTTTATTTTTTCTCTTTCTGTCTCAAACTCTCGAAATCAGATGGTAATCGAAGAAGTGGCGACTGATCTCTCCGTTCGTTCTTCACCTCTCTTCGCTGATGAATCAATTGGCGTCTGTTTTTGGCTGTCACGGTGATGACTCCGCCTCTGTTTCGCCTCTCCACCTCTCTTTTGCCTTTACGCCGCTCTGCCTCTGTTTCGCCTCTCCGCCTCGGTGTGTCTCTCCTCCAACCGAAAGGTAAGATGTTTTTAAGTTTAATCATGCATGTCTTATATTATGATTCTCCTTGTTCTGTCGCAAGTTTTAATCATTTTATTTGGTTATTTAATCATGCATGTCTCTCGGTGGATGCACTGGAAATGAGAATTCTTTTTGGTAGGAGAAGAAAGCTGAAAAGGGTATTGTACCTCATGAGTTTAATAAAAAAAAAATTAAAATTTTTAAGCAACCTAAAACAAAACACTTGCAATAAAAGAGGTAAATAATCAAATTGCTTAACTAGGTTGCTTACCAAAATAAATTCCTTAAATATTATAATTATATTATTAAGCAACCCATTATGGGTGTGTAGGATAATGGTGCTCTTAGTTCCTTCCAAAAAAGTTATGAACCTTTACTTATTCTAATATATTTTGAAAATCTTATCTAACCTATTCTAATATCTTTGGATTTTATAATAAAAAATTCTTACAGTTTAGTATTTCATTTCAAATTGTGTAAGTTTTTACAACATCATATCTCTAAGTCGTTGTCGCATATTTTTGAATCTGACGACTAAAAATGTCCAATAACGACTAAGAAATATGATGTTGTGAGATTTTAATCTTTACAAATTATCAAAACTGTAGCCCTACCAAACAAAACTGGTTGGAACATTTCATTTCATAACAACAAAAAAAGTACCATTATTTGATAAGTACTATATGTTTTCTTCTTATGCCACAGACCAATTTATGGTTGTACAATGATTCAAAGTTAATAAAACAAATATTTATGATGATTGTATAGAAACGAATTATATTAGCTAGACTCAACGAGAAAACCAGATAATGTAAACTAATTCACTTTTGCCGATTGGAAATTTAGAACATAATACAAACCAAAATAATAATTATAATCTTCTTCGAGCTCTGATTAAGAACATCCGCCGATTCCACTGGATCTTTTTTTTTATAATAGAATTAATTACAACTCAACCACCGACCCGTGCAAATGGATCGGAGTTTCCTCTGTCTCTATTTATATAATACATACTCGCATGAACCACACTACGTACGTAATACAAACCAACATAATCCCATTTTCTTTGAGATTTAGTCTTTTGCAGATATATTTGTGACAATACATATGTTTACATAGCGGTAGCAATCGAGATCATGTTTTTATCAAACCATCCCTTACAGGATAATTTTTTTCTTGGCTCATAGATATAAATATATATTACATACATAGCTCACAAAACCAGCAAAATTTCTAACATTGCAGTAAAATAAAGCAACAAAGAAGTAAGAAGAGCGCAGAGAGAATATCTATAGTTAATTAATAAAGTACTTTTTAGTGAGCAGCAACGATTGAAGATCGCTTCACGAACCTTCCTTTCATACGAGGTCTTTTCTCAGCATTCAATTTACGAACCTCATACCTTATCTTCTTGGAGAACAACCTCGTCCTTCTTTTCTCTCGGTATCTTGAAACTCTAGCTTCTCTTCCTCCACTACCAGCATCTCTCATGTGTAACCCTAGTCCCCGAAAGTGGTTGTGATGATGAGCCTCTCCACCACTCTCAACCTAATTATTCACGACATGTGTTAATTAAGTTTTCTTAATTAGAAACAAATGCTATCTTTTATGACATTATTAGTAATATCCAGAGTGGTCCAGCGATAAAAAAAAATTATTTCTACTAACTTGCAATAAAATATGACTTTTTCACATACTTTTGGGATTAGTCTAGGTCTCGACCATAAGTTATCATGTTGTAGTTGTATAATAGAATGTATTGAATAATAGATAGAACAATGCAAATGGTTGCATACATACCATGGAATCGGTTGAGCAACAGAGCATGTTGAGGTCTACTTGAGGTGGCTCGTGGGCGGTCCATGGTGTTCCTTGACCTCCCCAAGTGGAAATCACTGACTCGTAGTCCAATCTAAGCATATGAACCGTCTCATTCTTCTCTTCCTTAACCGAACCACTCATCTCATTCACTTCCACGTCAATAATATTCTTATTCACATCTTCTTCTTCGGTTTTTTGTGAGTACTCATAATCAAAGCTTATTTCAAATGGTGTAGTCTCATCAGCGTCATCTAGATCACACACTTCTATTGTCACTACTTCTTCCTCTTTTTCGATCTTGAGCATCTCACCTAACCCTAGCTCTTCCATGGCATTGAATTCTCTATCCGTCCCTCCACCGAGGAGAATCTCCACATCAGCTGAGAACTGAGCTAGTTCTATATCGGTCGGGAATAAACCATTCAGACAACTTTCAGCGTTGACATCTTCTTGGTCGCTGCTCTTGAAACACATGGACATCAAAGGTATCTCGTTCTTTGTCTCCACAGATTTGTTTAGCCGTTGCTCATCATCACCCATTGGGTTAAACATTGGGACCTCAAAGATGAGCTGCTCTTCCACCTCAAAGCTCTGATCCTCCGAGCTCATCTCCGGCACAAGATCATGGAACACCATCGTGTGACTCTTCTTGCCCCCGCGTGGCGTCCGAGCTTTACGTGTAAAGCCCTGATGCCACGTGGCTGCATGAGGTGGTGAGGATTTCTTTTTGGGGCTACCCGATTTCAAGCGAACCCTATCGTGCCTACGGGCAAGAGGGTTCGCTGAGTGGACCGAACCGTCACAAGAATGGCAAAGGAAAGCATCATCAGCTGCGCAATACCAACGTGCCCGCCTCTTCACGCAGCTGTCGCATGCCCTCGCCGTCTTTCCTTCGACCACATTAGCCAAACTTTTCATCATATTGTAACTCTATTTATCTATGACCATCAACGAGAACTAGAAACCTTTACTTTGAGTAAAAACTAGTTGTCAAGTCTCACTTGCAAAAAGAATGTTTATCGACTCTCTTCAAAGGTTTCAGTTATAGAGAAGTGGCTATAAAAAGGGAGACTACCTTTTGGTTTTATGAGGCAAGGAAAGGTTAAGTTTAGAGGTGTTGTAGTCTTGTGCATGTCCCACACGATGTGAACTATTTTTTGGGAGTGTGATTAAAGTTAAATTTTGATGCACTTTTTTGTTGTTTATGAGACTTATGAGGGCCATGTAGAGAGGTCTTATCTCTATTTTTATTGGTCTAGTTCTTCAAGATGATCCTCTTCTTAGTGATTTAATTGGTCGTTGGATATCTTTATGGTCCACTTGTCATTTTCGCTGCCTAATCATCCCTTACTTTTTGGAATTTGCTATTTATTAATTTTATTTTCCATGGAAAAGTTGGATAGTCTCGTGAGTTTTTGGAAAGAGAAACTTTTGATTGGTTGTGTTGGATTGAGTCCAGAGTAATCAGCATGATATGTAACTATGGTGTTGATATATCTATATCTTTATTTTCTACATGTTCATCCTCAAATTTAAGAGACAACTAGCTATTGTTAATATTTTGTTTTGTGTGTATATGTGTGTGTGCAATTCCAATTTGGTGCATTTTGTAATAGTAAAAGGATACGTAGGTTGGGAATAACCGAAGTAATAAGAAATAGATATTGTACGAGAAAACTGGAAAAGGTAATAAAATGAAGAATGGAAAACGAAGTGCAAAATTAAATATTCCTAAAAACATTGGGTTAAAAGAAAAATAAAGATAACTATCAACTATGGTTTGTGCTGGACCACATCAATATGCAGAAAATTTCAAAAAAACAAAGACATCAACCTTTTGTTGAGAAGATAAGAGGATCTATGGATAACATGTACAACGCCTGGCTTTATTCGTTTACTTGGAATATGATGTTTCTAGTTTTTAGCATCTGTACGAACTTAAAATAATAGAGTGCTTAATTATTGAATAAATTAGGTAAGAAATCACTAAACCTTAAACTTTTCCATGTGCATCTAGGAAATCATATATTCATAGTTTATTAATTGACAATCAGGTTCGGATCTGGGTTAATCCATATGAAACATTAGTCTGGTCCCCAAAAATTTTAGAGGTTTTTCATATGAACACAATCCTCAAATCATGAAAAAACAAACAATTTAAAAGAAATTCCTTAGAGCATCCACATCAATGAACCCCCTCTTGGGATTCATTGAATCATTTTTGTATTATTAAAAATTTTCTGTTTTATTTTTTATTTTAAAAAAAAACAAAAAAAAAATTTAGACCAATCCTGAGCTGCCACGTGTTGAACCTCAGGAGAGAGGGGTTCACCGGAGTGAACTTTAGGAGAGAGGGATTCATAGATTTTTATTATTTTATTATTTTTTTTTTCTTGATTTCCGTGTGAACTCCCCCATGAACCTTCAATGGGGATGCTCTTAGGAATGTTTATAGCCCTCAAATTATCGGATCCAGCGCATGTAAATAATATAGATGAGCGTGGGTAAAAAGCGTTGAACGGAACTCGACACAACCCAATTTTAAATTTATCACGAACCAAATACGAAACTCAATTGGGTTGTGTTATCCAATACAACAACACATCATATTGCTCTACACCATACAACATGCGACCTCGCTGGTAATGTGACTAATGATGGTTATAATAATTAACAGAGTTTCGAAAAACAAAAAAATAAACAAAGTTAGTTGGTAAAAATTGATTAACCTTTAACAACTAAATTTTTACGTTGCACCTTGCACGTTGGGTATTGGATAACAAAAACTTGTACAGCCGTATGATGTGTTGTTCCTAGATCGAATATAAATATTTCGGACGAGTTAAGCTATTGTGAGCTGAAGTTTTAGGCTCCTGTAACCGGCATAAGCCCAACACATTTTCCTTCAGTATTTGAAAACAAGTTTATTCTTTATCCATGAGCGAGTATATATATATCAATTCGCATTTTCCATTCTTGAAATATATTTTTCCATTCCAAACCATTACAAAACCATACTTGACGACGTTTCGTTTGGTTCAAAGTTTAACAACTTCAGGGATAAAGACAGGGTAACGGTCGATACAATCGGACCATGGTCCATCCTTAGGTGTCTTAATAGTACGATTACACTTCCACACAGCAGAGTTACACTTGAAACCACTCCCAAACGCAATCTGCCAAACTCTATCTCCCCTCCTCATTCTCCCTTTAGACTCGATGTAGCTAAGCTCGTACCACAATGAAGATGATGATGTGTTACCAAAACGATGTAACGTCATCCTCGAGGCTTCCACATGTTCTCCTGATAGCTGTAGATTCTTCTGTAGCTCGTCGATTACGGCTCTACCTCCTGCGTGAATGCAAAAGTGTTCGAAGGCTAACTTGAAATCTGGTATGTATGGTTTCCATTTCGGGTTGAAAATTTTACGTCCGATTAAGGATAAGAGGAAGAGGAGTTGCTCCGATGCTGGTAGGACCAGAGGACCTGCTCAATTCAAACCGAACCAAAAAAAACTCCGGATTTAACGCAGTCGAAATGGAATATGTAATATTTTTTTTTTTTTTGGTAAAAATATGTATATATATGTAATAATTTTTCTTATCAACAAACAGAATTTAATGTAACCGAATGGGAATAAGCTAACTTTTCCATAGAACAAGACGTACCAAACAATGCATTTAATTTCTCCAACCAAACTTAACTTATACACCATTTAAATTTTACAAATAACAAACCGAAATTCATGCAACCGAATTGATAAGCTAATTAAATTCGTTTTTAAATTAAACTAAAAATTTTACTAACCGAATTTCATGGAACATATAACATACCCAAAAGTATTTTAAATTAAACTAAATATATATATAGCATAATTGTTTTTTTTTTAAATTGAACCAAATCTAAAGCTAAGCGGGTCAAAATGTTCACACAAAAAGAGCTAAAATAGTCAGTGAGCCTATTTTAAATTGTTGAATGTCCACCAACCCCTTCATATATATTTTGCACCGTTGATATATCATTGTTAGGGTATTAAAATTATTAAATGATATGTACTGTTATTACCTATTGTAGTGATGTTAGCCTTGAGGGCTTCACCTGCGATGGCCATAAGATCTTTGGACAAGTTGATGCCAATGTTCCCGTCTTTATCTTCTTGTTCATAGACGCAGTAGTAAGACTTGTCATCAGCGCCACGGTGGGTCCGGACAAGGTGGCTAAGCTTGTACTTGGCTCGCCACCTGTCAGACCGACGGTTCGACATAAGTATTGCCGCGGAGCCCATGCGGAAGAGACAATTAGGAAGCAACATGGCTCTCTCGTTCCCTTTGTAGTAATTAGGCGTTATGATCTCGGTGCTGACAATGATTGCATTCGAATTGGGATGAACCTGAAGCAGATCGCGGGCCAGATCCACTGAGATCAGGCCCGCGCTGCAGCCCATCCCAGACAGATTAAAGCTTTTTATGTTACTTCTTAGCTTATATTTATTTATAACCATAGCGGAGAGAGATGGTGTTGGAGAGAAAAGAGAGCAATTCACAATGAGTATGTCTATGTCTTTAGGCATTAGACCGGTTTTCTTGAAAAGATCATCCATAGCCGTGAAGATAACCATTTGAGCCTCACTTCTTGCCTCATCCATGGTTGGTGTCGGAGGAATGTAGTGTATAGCTGGAGGGAGACAAGTCTCTTCACCGAGACCAGAACGTTCAAGGATTCTCATTTGAAACTCAACGCTTTTAGGCTTGTCGTTGAGTATCAAACGAGAATGTTCCATGAAAGTTGCGAAGGGGACACGGCACGTGACTGGTGGTTTGTAACAAGAGTAATCAACGAGGTAGATGGTACGTGGCTTGGACATGAAGTAAACGGTGGAGATAAATATAACAAAGAAACAAGAACATAGACCATAAACTAGGTCAATGTGAAGTGATCTCCAAACATTAAGAATCTCTTCTGGACCGATACGAAGAAGCTCAACGGCGATGATTGCCATGATAGGGATCAAAAGAAGACTCAAGAAGTGATTGACCAAGTATTGATAGCCAAGTTTCACATACTTGAGCTTCACCGAGCTAGAGAACTCTGGTATCGGTTCTTGAGGCATCTTGGGGAGAGAGTTCAATGTAAAAAGATATGTAAGTACGCTTGTTTTATTAACTTTTGTTACTAGGTTTATGTAGATGAGTAAATTAAGAAGAGAGAGAGGAGGGTGAAGGATATAAAGGCAAACATGAGAAGGGGTAGAGGAGAAGAGTTAATGTAGAGCCTAGCGTCACCCAACGCTCTCTATGTTCTCTATTCAATTTTGCTTTCTTTTACGGAAGTATATTATTGCTATAAGAAAACATGTTTTCTTTAAGTTCTCTTCGATTTCTAGTTTTCACCAGACAAACGCAAGTGATGAGGGTAAATGATAAGGACTGTTTCCCCTTTGATATAAAAGTTTCATATCTTTCATATTTGTTGTTTTGAGATAGACAAATATAAAAACACCAGAGACGTGTCAGCGTTTGATTTAATCGAGATCAAAGTGTTTGGCAACTACTTTGATTTGATGATCACGTAGTAAGATATGAGCAAAATAGTACTGTTACATTAACAAATATCCAAGAAAACTTTGTTTTCATAACTATACCACAATGAATAAGGTTCCACAAATGAAAGAAAGAATTAGTTCTAATGTTTTCTTTCTTTTTTTTTGACTAAAGTACTAATGTTTTCTTACTCGTGAATTAAATGTACCTGAAGATTGATTATATAACTGATTGATGGTAGTGTGTTTAAAGAACAAAGTTAAGTAACATGAGATTTTTTTTTCTTTTGTAAACTAACATGAGATTATTTCACTGAGCTAAACGAATAATAAAATGTATTTAAGAGAAAAAAATTAGGTGCACAGAAGGGTGAAATACTAGTTCATATTTTAATATTTACAATGAAATTCCTCTTCTTGGTCCCGATAGTCATTTGAAAGTGAAAACACACGAGGGGGAAACCAAACAGTAGTTACGATGTTTGACTTGGAAAGTGCAAGTAGACAAATCTTGAGATCTTGGGAAACATGAGGCAAATCAAACAGTAGGTATCTGAAAGAAGACAAGCCTCGAGATCCGACGATCCACCAAAATCTTACATAAAGTCCAAAATCTTTTCAGGTATGATTCTTTTTGCCAAACATAAATTTTAATACCATACTCAAAGAAAAGAATGCAAGATCTTTACACTTGATCATACATGCATGTATGAAAAGAACCGAACTAGAGAAAAATCTAGCGAAATCGAGATTAAAAAACCCTATAGTGACATCATTTATAATGCCAACAAAGTTCGATAAAGAAGTTTAGACTGAAACTGTTCACCAGCTTGATATGTACTTGTGCATCTCATTTAATAAAATGAATATATTGTGGCTGTGTTTTATTAGTCACACCAATTTGATAGTCCATAATACAGCAATTCCATCAGCTTTCAGAATAAATGTACATGGAGAAAATAATTGTATGAGGTTATTTTCCTCCTTGGCAAATGATTTTTCATACTTCAAGAGTCTATTTCTATGTATAGCATCTTGATAAAATTAGAGGCCAAAGCCAATATTTTGTTGGGATATGCCCTGAGGAGATCATCTTCCCAACTATCTCCATTGAAGTTTATTCTGATTTTGATTTTGATTTTGATAATAGTCTATCTCTATCATATGCTGTTTTCTATCAACAATTATTCAAACCTGCTGAAAGACTGGCCTAAACTTTTAGTTAAGAAAACAAATCATAGTGATTTAGTTGTAAATTAATTTTTATTCTATGAAGTAGACACTGATCTATATCTTTTGTAAACTAGGATAAGTTTTTTCCTTGAGAAAAACTCAGATATATTTTTCTCAACTTTTGATGTGAAAATATGTAACAGTAGTGACAATTGATTAGTGTACTTAAGGGTGAACATAAATAAATACCCGAGATAGGCAGACAGTACTTTCATCGTGCGTTACTTGATTTGACAACGATATATACTAGTACCATATATGCCTTAGAGCATCCGCAACAAAGTATCCTTAGGGGAATCATCCGCAACAAAGAATCCTTAGGTGAAATCCTTAAGAAAAAATAAAAAGGGTATTTCACATTATATAAGAATATTTCGGATTATTTCTTTAAAATAAAAAAACCTGACCAATCGTGAACCGTCACGTGGGCAGTGGAGCCCATGAATAGTGTAAGGATCAATCCTTACATAAAGATTTTATCCTTAAAATCTTTAACTGTTCATGGGACCCATTAGTTATAAAAAATTAATATTTCCCTAAGGATTCCCCCTAATGACCCCTTGTTGCGGGTGGTCTTACCTGGCTACCTTACATAAATCATCACAAACACATGAACATGACTGTCTCTATGGGCTTCCAGAGTTCTGACAGAACTGAAACCCAATGGGCCTTTGAAAACTTCTTAAGGCTTACAAGTCCAAAATATTCTACCCGACCTGAATTCTTGTGTCAAGTCCAAGAAAAAGGTTTCCACAAAAGCCTCTCCGTTTAATAAGTGGCATTGGAGCGATCACATAGACGATGTAACATGTTTTAGCCATGGAAGAGCCTAAAGCAAACAGGGAGAATCGTATGGACATGAAGGTAAGTGAGAGTGGTGCTGTAGACAAGTTAAAGTAGCTTTAAAAATCACACCTCGTGAACTAAATCGAGAAGCTAATGAGCCAAGGATCACATGATTCACATCTTTCCTCAAGCCCTAACTCCAACAGAAAACACATTATATGAATGGAGAATGTGAAATACTTTATAAAGAAAATAGTATACTTTTCAAGAGTTTGAAACCCTTTATCACAAGATCCTCCCACTTCCTCACCTCACCTCACCTCATACATAGCATGTGCGTTTCAGGCTCACCTTCTTATTGTAAGTATATCACGTGACTGAGACATAAACACGCACGGACAGAAAAAATATTAACAACCGCATGTGCAGCCACAGAGTAGTGGAAGAGAGTGGGAAGAGATAGTTACTAACACTAGTATAAAAATCATCCTTTGACTTTTCCTCGTTTTCCAATCACCTCTATAATTTTACATATACAATCAAAATTTTCTGAAAATGCAAAATACAGCTGCTATAAATAAAGTTAGATAATTAAATAACCCTGACAAAACCAACCCCTGACTTGTTTGCCACTTCTGTGCAACTCCCCTCTTTTTAATTCTCACTAACCTTACTAGACCGGTAAGTGTTTAATGTTTGTGATGGTGAAATTTTTTGATGAGTTGTCACTTTCTGCTAGATTCTTTTAGAATCGCAAAACGTTAGAATCTAACTTTCGATTGGTAAAGGGGATTATGAAGAACATAGAGAAGCAAACTCAATTATTAAAGTTTCAACCTTTTCATTACTTCATCTTTTACATCTTAAAACAAAATTTAAAATAAATAAAAACTCCTAAAATGCAAAACCCGGCTACTTATTGTGTCTTAAGCATCTTACATCTCTCCGGAACATACACTTCTCTGTGTGTCTTAACCAACTACCCCCCAAAAAAAAACATCAAACTCAAACACTCTTCTCACTATAATTATTTTTAAGTAGCAAAACTTTTCATAGGGCAAGTGATGTTGAGAGGCGAGGCCTGATCAAGGAAACTCGAGCCAGCTAACTCAAGCTCAACATCTGCAAAGTCGAAATCCGGTAACGCACTCGGACCACTATCTTCAAATCCATCAATATCATCCAATAAACCAAAATCATCAAGCTGATCATCAGTGAAGAAACAATCAAAGTCTAAACCAAGATCATTTCCACCACCACCAGCACCACTCATTGGTCCTCCACCATCATTAAACAAACCAAAATCAGGAATCTGTAAATCAGCAAAGTTGAAATCAAACAACACTTCCTTCCCCAAATCAACATCATTGGTAGTAGTGATCTTGATCTCTTCTTTAAGAGCTGAAGCTGAAGTATCTTCCTGCTCAGGAGGATTAGTAGTAGAAGAGCGTGAGCTTTGACTATTCTCAGACAAAGAAACCTCAGGGACAGGATCAACAACAATACCAAGAAGTTCATCATACTCTCTCCTCTTCTTTTTATAAGCCTGATGAGCCTCTTCTTGTGTACGGAAAGTACCCAACCATCTCCTCGTTTTAGTAATCGGATGTCTAATCTCAGCAGCCCACTTCCCCCACTTCCTCAGCCTAACACCAACAAGCTTGTTCTGACCCAACCTACCACGAGAAGAAGCCAACAAAGACTTCCCTTTCTTGCTGATAGTCTTAGTAGTAATCTGTGAAGAAGGGTCGTCACGAGGTGGGAAGTTAATCTCACGGACAATGCGTTTCACAGGACGAGGCCTAGGCTTCATCTCCTCCTCTTCATCACTAGAGGAGTCATCAGTTGCGTAAGGATCAGCTACAATGATCCTAACTTTTCGAAAAAGTTGGGTTTCTTGAGGATGGGACACTAAAGAGTTGTTTCTCTGTTTCCTAATCGCTACCATTGTTTTGTCGTTTACACAAACCCCCAAATCCTCAAGAACAGAATCACTCAAAACTCTCCAGATCAAAAAAAAGGGTTTTGTAATAATAATTTTAAATTAAAAAAAAACTCAGCGAACTATGAAAAAAGAAAACTTTTGCTGCTTTATGTGAAAACCACCAAACACTTCAACGCCAGAACAAGTCCTGAAGACATTTAAAACAAGACATGGGTTTAGTTCTCTGTCTTAGATCTTGTAAAAGGGTTGGAGAAATGAGGAGAAAGGTGATACCTTTTGGGCCTTAAGCGCATGGAAAGAGAGGGAATCTCGAGAACAAGCCTCCTCTGCTTAGAGCAGAAGTGAAGAGCGTTTGTCGGAACAGAGTTTAGAGAAGCAGATGATGGATTCGGACAAGGGATGTTGTAAATCAGAGATGAAATCAAAGCTTTTGATTCAAACCCAGCCGACATAAAATCCGCGTTCCACAAAACGCTTTAACGAGGATTCTTCTCACGAAAACCCCTAACTCTCACTGTTCCTGTTCTTAAGACACAGAGACAACAACAACAAGAAGTAAGAAACACAACACAGCTTAAACCCTAGAGAGAGAGAGATTAGATATCTGGGGATGAGATTTTTTCTTTGATTTATAAAAATAAAAACTCGATTTTTATAAATCGTTTATACGCAAATCTCCAGAAGAAGAAGAAGAGAAAAAACGATTCTTTTAATAAAGTTATTGAGAAAAACGAAGAAGTGAATATTTATTTTATTTTATTTATTAACCTTTTTTTGTTTCTGCTGTGAATCACTCTTGTTTCGGTTTTTTTGTTTGCTCAGAAGAAGCTATTGTCACACGCTCTTTGTGTTATGCGTAACATATATATACAGTTTTTATTAGTTACGGTCAACAGGAAAGAGCGATAAATATGGGAATGAAATATTCAGTTTTTATTAGTAACAACCAATTAGAAATTTTTACATTATTATGTAAGTTAATCTTTACTAATTTATAGCCTATTCACATTCATTGACCGGCTAAAATAGTTAATATACCTTCCGTTTTTTACAGAACTAACCATAAGACTCTCTCTCTTTTTTGGGGAAACTGTTTTTTTAGACCAAATAGGTTTGGATATTGTCCCTTTAGGCTAAATTATATTTTGTACCAATTTTGACTTTAATGCCCTTTATGTATTTTCGAAATTATTAAAAAAAATAGATTTATGAAGCAAATTTTTTTTAAAAAAATAGTACATAATGATGAAATCTCTATATCTATATAGTGATATTTTTTTCTTGTTTTAAAAATATGTAAATAATAATTTCATATATCAATTCTACCGAAATTAGAATATGTATTCTACGGATTAGAATACGGAATCCACTTTGTTCACTATTTCTATGAATTGCAGAATATGTTTTCTACGGAGATAACATGAATCTAAAATAGTTTGGAATACACATTCCACGCTTATCATATAGTTCTAAAAAGAGTAGAAGTTGAAATCTAAATTTGTACTTAAATCTAAGACAAGTAGAAGTCAGAATCTAAATTCGCACAACGTTCTAATACACATAGAAACTGATTTCATATCTTTGTACACAGTTCTACGTTTAGTAGAATTTGAATTCTACGGATAAATATTATTAGATCCGAAAATATAGCAAGAATATCTTAGAAAATATTCTATTACCATATTTAAAACTTCATTTTTTTTTAAAAAAAAAGGAAAATTCGATTTTTTTTTAAAAAAAAAGGAAAATTGATTTTAAAATAAAAGAGGAAAATTCGATTTTTTAAAAAAAAGGAAAATTCAAAGGCAAAAACGTTTTATTAAAAGGAAAATTTTTTAATTTTTAATTTTTTTTAATTAAATTTTTTTTTTAATTTTTAAACGATATTTTAAGTGAATTTAAGGGCATTGTTGCCATTTAGAAAATATTTAGCCTAATAGGACAATAAGTTAATGAATTTAAACTAAAGGGACAAAGTCCAAACCTATTTGGGTTAAAAAAACTATTTTCTCCTCTTTTTTTTTTTGCGTTACACTGGTGATTTTATTAAGGAAATGAATATTATGATAGTATTGTTATGGGGAGACACGGTAGAAGTATCGACAATTCTAACATTAATGGCGCATGAGTCATGCATCTATCATGGCCCGCCAAGAATCTCATAACGTGGTTCTCACGCTCTCTTCCCACAAAATTCTTAATATCCGAAAAGGAAAATTCTGTTTTTACAAGATTTTTTTTTAAAGATATAAATCTGTTATTTTTGGTGTAAGTCTTCAAGTTTGGGTAAAAAAATCTAATTTAAAATCTATAAACTAGATATTTGTAAAGAAATCTGCTAAATCTAAATTTAACTATATTTCGTTTTTAATTTAATTGAATAATTGGTAAGTGAATATGAATTATAACAAGCCAAAATTGTATGACAAAAATAGAATTAAATAATATAAATTCTTAAATTATAAATATTTGGTGTATACAAACTATTTATATGTTATAAAATATAACATAGATAACTATATAATTATATTTATATTTTAAATAATGAAATATTTTTTCGGTTGGGTATGGCTTTGACTATTCCTCATATTTACGTTATATGTGGATAATATTAGTTATCTGAAATTAAATATTTAAAACTAATAAAATATCATAATTTATTAATTACGTTTAAACACTTTGTAAGTTAGCCAATTTTTTTAGTTTGGTATTTTATTTTGTTTAAATAGTTTTGAGTAATTTGGTTAGAATTTTCAAATACTTATATGTTTCGAAAGTTTAAATAAAAAAGAATCGAACCAAACTAAAACTTAAAATTTTGTTAATATTCACCGGTTTTTAACATAAATATCGATATTAAATAAATTCGATAAATCATTGAGGAAAAGAAAACTGTTATATTCTCCGAAGAAACATAAAAGAAGGAAGAAGGTGGGGTGGGCCACGTAAACGGTGGCGCGTGACTCCGAGCAACTCTCCTTTTCCCGCCATTTAGCCGCCTGCAACTCTCTTTGGGTCCCACTTTCCCGCCCAAAAAACTGTCATCACCTAACCTGTTTCATCTCCTTCCACGTATTCACTCTTATCACGTGCCTTTTGTCTTGTGCCATGGACTCGCGAACCCCTCTGTGTGTTTTCTCGATTCTAAAGGTCACCTTACTAAATTTTTTCTTTTTTGCTAGGACTTACTAAATTATTTATCTAAACCTTTTCCTCTGATGTGAAAAACACAGTCTAAAACATTATTGTTAAAACTTTTACAATACCAAACATGAATCTCTTGTATCTGTCAATGATATCTGAAATCTAAACAGTGTGTGTAAATAATAACGAAGTGAAGTAAAAGCCGACGAGTTAGAAAACAGTTTTACAAAAGTCGTTGGGAGTGTAAAATAACAACTAATGAGTTTGAAGACGCGTTTTTTTCCACCGCTCACCACGTCTCGGTACACTCACTCGTTACAAACTTAAAAAATAAGATGGTGATGATTAAGGTTCTATCAATTAATTGCCAGAAGGTTCACAACTATATGTCAAAGGGAATAGTCTAAGTTTTTGGATGTGTGAGCAGCATCATTAGATCGCATGGCTTAGAATAAAGGATCGTGTGGGCTAGACTTTTCATATCCTAGGCTCTTTTGGATTAGAGTCCTTAGTCATAGATTGTTGCCTAACTTTGTAAGATTCTGTTGTATTCACCTATTAGATCTTGCATGTGTATTAAGACAATGATAGAGAGCATCAGGATGGGGACAAGTTGATAAACCTATTCAGCTTTTCACACAGGGGTGACATAAGGAGTATTTATATGGAATTTATGGTCAATGGTTGGTTATAAAAGTCTTCATTGAGTGGAAATATAACAACTTGAAGAAATGACGAATCATTGATCGTTACATGTCATTGATACTGATGAAAAATAGTCTTGGGTTTTGTATGCTGCAGACGATTGCGTCATACTTTCTGTATGAAAGCTTTAAGCTTACAAAACTAAAATGTAAATGGTGACAATATTTTTCAATAACGGATAGTTACATGGAAAATAAATGTAGACACACCAAAATATTGTTGTAGCTAAGGTTATTAAAATATGGTTTTGTAGTATGTGCTTCGATAAAACAAATACTAAAACGTATATGGTTCTATGAGATATTTTTGATAATTCATGAAAAACTTATCCATTTATCAGAAACTAAAGTAAATGCAAAGAAAAACACCAAAAACAAACGATACTTTTCATTCACTTGCAATTCTTATTCAGACTAAAACATCTTCTAGTAAAAAGACAAGACACAATCTGAAAAACCAAACCTCTTCTAATCTCTTCTTTCTTTTAATAATCTTTCATTCATCCAAATTAATTAGCACCACTAATACCCATTTTCCACGACATGTTAAACTCCTTACCCACCAATATCTCAAGTCCATGAACTTCAACCATCACACTCTTGCTCTCTCCTTCCTCTTCCAACCCAACCACATAACTATGCTCCTTCGAGCTTACCTCAACCTTCGAGACTAAACTTCCATCGATCTCAACCTCAGAAGCTTGTCCTGATCCCTTAAGTCCCAAAACACTAACCTTCTCAATCACCCATCCTTTACTCAACGCAAACTTCCCTTCCTTCACTTTAGACCACATCTTCACAGTCCCGTTTCCGACAGAAGCATAGAACTCAACGTACGTGGACTGTCCGTTTCCTAGCTTCATCTCCGGAAGCTCATCCTCGTCTAGGTAAAGCTTACCCGTTGCGTATCCCTCAGAAGCTCCAGCAGGGAATGTAATAACGAGGTTAAACGGCGTCGTTCTCGCTTCTTTAGAGATCAACCCTCCTTGCTGCATAGGTAATATAGTGTTTTGGTAAAGATGAACGTTCACGAAGTTCAACGGAGCTGAGAGAGTCACGCGCTTCCCGTTCTTTGACACAACGGCTTGAGTCATGTCGAACATATGGTACCAAGAACCTGGTGGAAACAAAGCTTCTACTTCGGTTTTGCCTTGTTCAAGAACCGGAGATATCATCAAACCGCTTCCTAGCAAGAACTGTCTGCTCGAGCCGTAACATTCGGTGTACTCAGGGAACGAGAAGAAGAGCGGTCTAGCGATCGGCGCACCGGTCATGTGAGCTTCGTAGTTAAGCGTGTAGAGGTAAGGAAGGATCTTGTATCTCATACCTAGAGCGTTACGTGCTGACACGGCAACCGTGTCCCATTGGTAAAGCTCTTGACGGGGAGAGTAGTAGTTAGCGTGGTCTCTCGAGAAAGGGTAGAACGCTCCCACTTCGATCCAACGGTTACAGAGCTCCTCCGTTGGTTGCGGGTAGAATCCGCAAATGTCTGAACCAACCATGGGAACACCGAAGATTCCGAAATTCAACATTGTTGAGATTGATACTTGCAAACTCTGCCATGTTCCTTGGTTATCTCCGGTCCAATGAGCAGCGTACCGACC